AAGCCCTTGGAGCTCGGAGTCCCACCTGCCTTAATCTCACGCGTCAGCTTTCTCCCTCTTCTAGTTATGAGATTTTTGCCATTATTTAGTAAAAGTAGTTGAGTCACTATAATGGAACTCTATTTAGAAATAACCTCAATGCGACCAGGCTCGGTGGCTCACACCTGTAATCCCAGCATTTTGAGAGGCCAAGGCGGGCGGATCACCTGAGATCAGGAGTTCAAGACCAGCCTGACCAACATGGAGAAACCCCGTCTCTACTAAAAATCAAAATTAGCTGGGTGTGGTGGTGCATGCCTGAAATCCCAGCTACTCGGGAGACTGAGGCAGGAGAATCGCTTGAATGTGGGAGGCAAAGGTTGCGATGAGTGGAGATCATGCCATTGCACTCCAGCCTGGGCAACAAGAGCGAAACTCCGTCTCAAAAAAAAAGAAAAAAAAGAAAGAAAGAAATTACCTCAGTGCAATTATTGTCGATTAAAAAACTTTGAAACAGCCAAGGCAGAAGAATCACTTGAGCTCAGGAATTTGAGACCAGCCTGAGCAACATAGTGAGACCTCAACTCTACTAAGTAAAGTAAAAATTAAAAGATTAGCTGGGGCCAGGTGCAGTGGCTCATGCCTGTAATCCCAGCACTTTGGGAGGCCCAGGCAGATGGATCACCTGAAGTCAAGAGATCAAGACCATTCGGGCCAACATGGTGAAACCCCATCTCTACTAAAAATACAAAAATTAGCTGGGCATGTTGGCACACACCTGTATTCCCAGCTACTCAGGCTGCTGAGGCAGGAGAATCGCTTGAACCCAAGAGGCGAAGGTTACAGTGAGCCGAGATCCTGCCACTGCACTCCAAAAAAAAAAAAAAAAAAGAAATTAGCCAGGTGTGGGGGCATGTGCCAGTAGTCCCAGCTACTTGGAAGGCTGAGGTGGGAGGATCACTTGAGCCCAGGAGGTCAAGACTGCAGTGATCCATGGTCATGCCACTGCACTCCTGCCTGGGCAAAAGACCAAGACCTCATCTTAACAAATAATTATTTTTTTTTTTAATCTTTTTTTTTTTTTTTTTGGAGATGGTCTCACCACTCTTGCCCAGCCTGGAATACAGTGGTGCAATCTCGGCTCACTGTAACCTCCTCCTCCCGTGCTCAAGCAATCCTCCCACTGCAGCCTCCCAAGTAGCTGGGACCATAGGCGCTTGCCACCATGCCCAGCTAATTTTTTGTAGAGATGCGGTGTCATCATATTGTTCAGGCTGGTCTTGAACTCCTGAGCTCAAGCAGTTTGCCCGCCTTAGCCTTCCAAGTAGCTGGGACTACAGGTGTGAGCTACCACACCCAGCCAAAATAATAATGTTTAAGGCTAGTCAAATGAAGCACTGGGGGTCGACAATAAAAATAGAATTGTTTTCAGTTTTAATTCTTTAAAAAGTTACCTCAACCTGTAGCCAAATAAATGTGACTTTTGGCCAGGCGCAGTGGCTCACGCCTGTAATCTCAACACTTTGGGAGGCTGAGGCCGGTGGATCACAAGGTCAGGAGATCGAGATCATCCTGGCTAATATGGTGAAACCCTGTCTCTACTAAAAATACAAACAAAAAAAAAAATTAGCCAGGCGTGGTGGTGGGCACCTGTAGTCCCAGCTACTCGGGAGGCTGAGGCAGGAGAATGGCGTGAACACGGGAGGCGGAGCTTGCAGTGACCCGAGATCTCGCCAGTGCACTCCAGCCTGGGGGACACAGCGCGACTCCATCTCAAAAAAAAAAAAAATTACTTTTAGTGTTTGAGAGATAGGGAAGATTATTTCATATTATTTCATTATGTAGGAGGATAGGTGCTGCATTTTAAAACTTTTTTAAAGAGCAGTAGCCATTTCTTTGTTTGGCTTTTATTGTATCTGGTACTCTTTAAAAAAAACACACAATTGCCTCCCCCAAAAGATGACTTAATTTGGAATTCCCTTAAGTTTCATTTTATTTGTAACTTTGTTTGTTTATTTTTGAGACAGAGTTTTGCTTTTCACCCAGGCTGGAGAGCAGTGGTGTGATCTCAGCTCACTGCAGCCTTGACCTCCTAGGCTCAAGGGATCCTCCCACCTCAGTCTCCTGAGTAGCTGGGACCACAGATGCGGGCCACCATACCCAGCTAATTTTTGTATTATTGGTAGAAATGGAGTTTCACCATGTTGCTCAGGCTGGTCTCAAACTCCTGAGCTCAAGCAGTCTGTCCCCCTTGGCCTCCCAAAGTGCTGGGATTACAGACATGAGCCACCACACCCAGCAAGTAATGCTACAATTTTAAAGCTATTTTGAACTATTTTAAATACTTTTATAAATATGTAATGCTTCCACATAGTTCAATATTTGAAAGATTCCAAAGCATCGCTAATAAAAAGTCTCCGTTCCATTCCATCCCCTGCTATCTAGCAGCCCTCTCCAGTGGCAGCCAACATTGTCACTGTCTTCTCTTTCCTTCTGGGGGTATTCTATGCAGAAACAAATGCATATTTCCCCTCCCTTTTTACAAATGGCAGCAGAATGTGCCCATTTTTGCCCTTTATTTTTTAATTTAATTATTTATTTATTTATTTATTTATTTTGACACAGAGTTTTGCTCTTGTCACCCAGGCTGGAGTGCCGTGGTATGATCTCAGCTCACTGCAGCCTCCACCTCCTGGTCTTTTCAAGTGATTCTCCTGCCTCAGCCTCTTGAGTAGTTGGGATTACAGGCACCCGCCACCACGCCCAGCTCATTTTTATATTTTTAGTAGAGACAGGATTTCACCATGTTGGTCAGGCTGGTCTCAAACTCCTGACCTCAGATGATCTGTCCTCTTCAGCCTCCCAAAGTGCTGGGATTACAGGTGTGAGCCATCGCACCCGGCCCTTTTTTAAATTTCATTTTTCTTTTTTCTAGAGACAGTGTCTTACTATGCTGCCTGGCCATTCTCGAACTCCTGGGCTCAAGCAGTCCTCCCACTGTGGCCTCCCAAAGTGCTAGGATTACAGGTGTGAGTCATCATGCCCAGCTCGCTTATTCTTTTGTTACATCATATTCTTTTTTTATTATTATTTTATTTTATTTTGAGATGGAGTCTTACTCTGTCGCCCAGGCTGGAGTACAATGGTGCTATCTTGGCTCACTGCAACCTCCACCTCCTGGGTTTAAGCGATTCTCCTGCCTCAGACTCCCAAGTAACTGGGATTACAGGTGCCCACCACCATGCCTGGCTATTTTTTGAATTTTTAGTAGAGACAGGGTTTCAGCATGTTGGCCAGGCTGGTCTCGAACTCCTGACCTCAAGTGATCTGCCTGCCTCAGCCTCCCAAAGTGCTG